TTATAATAATATATATTATAAATAAATCTAATATTATTGATATTTAATACTTAATATATTTAAAAATGTATTAAGTATAAAAAGTATAAAAAATATTAAATTTTTTTATTCAAAAAATGAAAAAAAAATATATATTTTAAAATAATTTTATTAAAATTAATTATTTATTATTCTAATGAATTATTTCATATAATTTTAAATATTTAATTTTTTTTCTTAGCTAGCATCTTCTTATAAATAAATTTTTTAAAATTATTTTAAATTAACATTTTAAGATTAAAATATTAAAAGATTCAATTTATTAATATTTTTTAATAAAAATAATATCCTTACATTTAAATTATTTAATATCTATATAATAGTTTTTAAATATTTTTATCAAATTTTTTGTTTTAAAAAATAATTAATATTTATATAAAAAATTTAATATTAAAAAAGGTATATAATATTTTAAATAAATCTAAGTAAACTTAAAATAAATAAACGAAAAAATATTTAATTAAACTATTTTAAATTTAACTTTAAAATAATTTTATAAAATATCTATATTTCCATATAAATTTCGAACTAATAATTGAAATAAGATTTTTTAAAATTGATTAATTTTTTGATATAAGTCAAATAGTAGTAAAATACAATAAATGCAAAAAATATATATTTTATTTAAATTCATATTTTTAGAAAAAAATAATAAAGTTAATTTTCATGAAAATAATTTTAAATAAATAATAAAAAATATTAATATTGGTTACAAATTTAATATATATAATATTTAAGTTATTTCTTTAAAAAATCAAAAAAAATTATAATAAAAATAAAACAAATTCAAAAAAAAAAACACATGATTTCTAAAAATATATTAGAAAATTTAAAGATTTAAATTCGATTTCTAAACATTTATATTGTTCAATATGCCATGAAATATTTCGCAAACCAGTACTAACAATATGTTTACATACATTTTGTCAGCATTGTATAGTGACTTGGTAAATAAATCATCAAGAATGTCCGATATGTCGAAGTTAATTTAAAAGAGACTAAAAATTATAATTAAATATAATAGCAAACTCGATAATAGAAGATCTTCATGTAAAATGTATTGAAGATACTAATTGTAATTGGGAAGGACAATTATCTAATTTATATAATCATATTTAGGAATGTTAATATTGTTAAGTTAATAATAATGAAAATAAACATTAACATAATAAAAATATAATTTTAATCGAAGATTCTGAAAAAAAAGTTAGAAAAAATAATTCATTTAGATTGATGATGATGATGATGATTTAAATTAAGTTGGATTTAAACTGGAATGGAAAAGAATATAAAATAAAAACAAAAGAAAACTTAAAAGAAATAGTAAAAATTTAAATTCTGATGATGAATTAACTCCTGAGTTTTATAATTAACAGGAAAATAATAAAACTATATATAAAAATCTTTCTAAATGAATATTCAAATCTTTCTAAATGAATATTAAGGAAATATATATAACTATATATTGAATGAATTTATATATATAATAAATTATATGTGACATACATGAATATAGTATTAAATGAAACTAACAAAATAAATTATTATTATATTTAAATTTAATATAATATTATTGTCATATTAATATATAATATTTTTTTTTTATTATAATATATTTTTATTTTACTATATATAAAAATTAAAAGTATATTATTCTTTATTATTGTTATTATATTTTTAATATTTTTTTTAATAATAATATGCCCATGTTTTTTCAATATACTTGTAAATTATAATTTATTTAATATTAAAAATAAATATAAAAACATTTAAATTTAATAAATTAAAATACATATAACTGATTATAAAGGTATATGGAAAAAATTATAAATAAATAAATAAACAATATTCCATTATGCTATGTTTGTGCAAAAAAATTAAAATAAAAAGAAAATATATGTTGCTATAAATGTAATTAATTAGAAAATCAATATGTTCCTTTAAAAATTTATTTTAAAGAAGACTTTGGGGACTATGCTTAACTAAACGAGATTATATATAACAAATTGTATATTGGGAATGAAAATGCTTCAAAAAACATTTAAGTACTAGAATAAGCTAAAATAAATAGAATAATATGTGCAGGTGATGGCATGGAACAAAAATTTTAAGATAAATTTAAATATTTAGTCCTTTCAGATTTATAAGACACTAATACAGCTAACATAATTAAGCATTTTTCTAAATGTATTAAATTTATTGATGAAATTTAAGATGATAGAGTTTTTATTCATTGTGCTTGGGGAGTTTCTAGAAGTCCGAGTATTGTTATAGCTTATTTAATGTATAAGAATAAATGTAATTCATTATTATGTTTATAATATGTATAGTAAAGAAGAAATTGTGCATAACCTAATTAAAATTTTATGAAATAATTAAAATAATTTTAATAAAAATTATTTATTAAATGAATATTTTTATTGATATAAAAATAAATGAGTTAATTTATTATTTTTAAAAAATAAAATATAAAATGATTAAAGATTTTTTAAATTAAAAGAAAAATTAATAATTTAAAAAAAAAATACAAAAAATGTATATAAATGAATTAAATATCCTTTAATCTATTTACTCATAAAAAAATAAAATTCACATTCTGTCAAAATTTAAAATAATTCACATAAATTTTTATATCAAATATAAATAATAATAATCAATTAAAATAAAAAATAAAAATATAAATTATATATTCCAAAAAAAAAGTGAATATAAATAATATTTCAAATAAAATACAAAAAAAATTAAAAAAAATAGATAAAATCGTTAAGCGGTTCTATATTAGTAGAACCAAATATGACATAATGGTCAATATACATAATATTTTCATTTGCAAATGTAATAGTAAATTTTGACCATGGTATAGTTCCTGCTGCCACAAAAGAAATTAAATAAGATTTAAATTTAAATGATGTATAATTAGGCTTATTAGGCTCAGTAGTATATGGCGGCCTATTAGTTGGATCATTAGCAGCAGCGTAAGCATTTTAGAAAATAAATACAAAAAACTTAATTTTTTGACAATAATATTATATATTTGTAGTTTGGCTTTGTTTTTAATTACTGATAAACTTTTTATTTTGGGACTTTCGAGAACTTTAGTAGGATTTTTTTAAGTTTTTTTAGTAGTTTATTTTCCTGTATGGGTTGATGTAAATTTATTTTATTTAAAAAAATTAATTAATTTAAAAAAAAAAATTAAAGTTACATGGAGGACTAAAAAAAACAATTTGGCTAACTTTCTTATAATTAGGAGTTCCTTTAGGAGTTTTTTTTGGATATATAATAACTGCTATATATGTAAGATTAATAGGATAAGTAAAAATTTATATATAAATAAAAATATGTTTTTTTTTAAAAAAAAAAGTGGTAATATTCATTCATAACATAAATAGTTTTTTTACTTCCTTGTGCATTTTTAATTTTATTTTTTTCTAGAAAAGATTTAGACGCCCAAGGAACTCTTTCCGAAAAATCAAAAGCAGATGAAAATAGTAAATTATAATAATAAATAGAAGATAAGTCATATTTACAAAATCTAAAATAATTATGGGATAATAAAATTTATATATGCACTATGTTAACTTTAGCTTCTTTGTATTTTGTAGTTACTGGTATATAATTTTGGATATCAGATTATATGCGAATAATCTTAAAAAAGGACTAAAAAACAGTTTTTACATCTTTTTCTTTAATTTCGATTACTGCCCCTACTTTAGGAGTAGTTATTGGGGGCATAGTATTACACAAATGTGGAGGCTATACAGGCAAATATGTACTAAAAGTATGTGTTATAAACGGAATATTAGCTTCAGTATGTGCCATACCAATTCCATTCATAAACTCATTTTAGTTAGTAGTTTTTTTATTGTGGTTTTTGCTGTTTTTTGGAGGTAGTTTAATGCCTGCAGTTATGGGTTTAATGATTTCTTGTGTGCCAAAAAACATGAGGGCTTTTGCAAATTCTACTGCTTAGTTATTCCATAATCTTTTAGGATATTTGCCTGCTCCTTTTGTGTATGGAGTGGCCAATAAATTAGAGGGAAAATAGGAATCTAGATTAGGAATGATTGTACTTATGTTTTGGAGTTTATGGGGAGTAGTAGGACTTTATTTTGCAATGTATTATAAGAAAATCGAGATAGGAGAAGAGTGTTAGATTATTGAAAAAATAGAATAGTAACTAAAAGATATTTAAGGAAATTAGTCTGATTGTATTTTTATTTATATATATATATACATAATAAATATGAAATAAAATATAAGTATCTAAAATTACAGAAAAAGAATCAGAATTTTCGAATTCTAAATAAAATTTTGATGATAAAAATTAAGCAGATGAAGAAAAATAAAAGTTGAAAAAATAATAGAATATTTAGAGATAGAATAAGAAAAAAAATCTGAAAAACTTAATGAAAATCAAATAAAAATTCCTCTTTTGAAAAATATTTCTTAAGAAATTGCTCAAGCTAAAATGTAATAAATTAAAAAAGATGGAAAAATTATTTCTTCTTAGTTAGATTTTTCGAAAATATATCCGAAATTTACTAATTATAATTAATAAACTCCAAGTTAGAGAGATACATTTAAAAGAAAAACATTATAATTGTTATCTATGAGCAGCTTAGTCGGGAAAACTAATAGTATTATATTTATTGATGATAATGAAGAAGAAAATTTTAAAAATTAGCTGTAAGAATAACTGAAGGATTTAAGAGAAAAATTTTAAACAGATGTAGAGATGCAATAACTTAAATGATATTTTTTAAAAATTAAAAAATAAATGTTATTTATGTTTAAAAAAATAAATATATATATATATACATATACTTCATTAAATTTTTATATTTATTTTAAATAATTTTATTTTATTTAATAATATAGTTTTATCCAAAATATTTTTATTTTCGTTAAATAAAATTTTTATATTATAAAAGAATAATTTTATAACTTAAAAAGATAATAAAAATAAAATAAAATTTATAGAATAATTTTAGATAATATAATATATTTGCATTAATTTATTTATAATTTTATCATTTTTTCGAATCATCTGAAAGATTATCAATTTCATTTTCTTCCCAAATAGTTTCAGGATATTTACTTTAATAATTTTTTTAAGAAAATTAAGTATTTGTATATTCTAAAAAAAATATATTTAAAAAAAAACATTATAAATTATATAAAAGAAAACCTTCATTTAACTATGAACAATCATTATATTATAAAAAAGCTAAAATTTCTATATGAAATTATGTTTTAATTAACAATTAAAGATAGAAGGAAAGTTAATTTTTCCTTTCTTCTAATTCACTTAAGGTAAGAACTGCATTCTACCCTTTTTTTTTAGGAAAATATTATTAAAACTACAAAAAATTTTAATTATTATAAAGAACTGCAAATTCTCTAAATGATTTTTTTGAAAAAAAAAAAGTTTAACATTAAGAGTTATTAAGATTATATTTGATTTCATAGACAATTGTTTTTTTTTTATATTTTATGGTTTCAATAAATTTGTCAATTTTAATAAATAAAATTTGAATTTTTTTTTTTTAAACTAAATTTTATTTTAGACTTTCATTTTAAACATTTATATTTATAATATTAGTCTATTAGTTATCCGATTCTTTGTTTTCGTTTATTGGATTATTAAAAACAAAAAGGTAATCTTTATCAAAAATAACAAGAAAAATCTACAAAAGTCCAGAAAAAATAATATAAGTACTTATTAAATAAAACTAAATTATTTCATTTTTTTGTTTATTTTTGCTATAAAATCCATAAAATATTGTATTTGTTAATAATCCTAATTATCCATTTAATCTCGTATATTTATTAGTTATCCCTTTATTTATTTTATCTTAAAAAATAGCAGTTTATTAGGCTATATTACTAAATAAATTTGTTAAATGTATTTAAAGTATTATTATTGAGGAATTTTTATTAAATTTTAAAATCCAAATAAATATTTATGATGAATTTAAAAGTATTAATACGGAAATCAAAAACTATTTTAGAAAATAACGAATACATTTATATTCACCTTTGATTTAATTTGATTTACTTTTTTTATAATTCGTATATATTTGGATTATTAAACGAATTATATCTATAGGCAATATTAAAGAAATCACTTCTATTATTATACAATCTCTTTCTTCAAATTAACAATATTCTTTAAGCATAAATATATTTATATATAATTTTTATAAGTTTTTTGTTTGTTTATTAAAATATAATTATTTTTTAAATATTGATTGTTTTTTATTTAATTTATTTATTCTTCTTCTTTTTAATTATTTTTTATTTTCTTTTCGAAGAATTCTTTTTTTTTACTTTATTAATTAAATAATATATTTTATATAAAATTTTTAATGACATTTAATTAAAATATATTGTAGTTATTAAAGTATGTGTTTTACATAAATTTGTTAAAACAAAAAATCATTTTAATATTTTTTTTTCACATTAATTTCAGAAATATTTTTTTTTTATAAAAAATTTAAATGTAATATTTTTATTAATTTATTGTAGTTAAAATTTAAATCTATGGGATATTCAGTAAAGTTAATGTTATTTTTTAATAAAAATCGGTAGTTAGAAAAATAATCAATATAATTTTAATTCAAAAAATAATATTTTATTACTATAAATTTTTAAAAATAAATAAAAAATAGATAAAAAATATATAAAAAAATAAAAATAAAATTTGTCAAACATAAAATTTTAAAAAGATATCAAATAATTAATGAATAAATATTTTTAATTATACATTTTTAAATTATGTAACATATTAATTATGTTTTTACTTATTTTTATAAATAAAATACTTATTTATAAAGAAAATTAATATCAAGCATAAAAATAATTTTAGCTTTTTATATATAAAATAAAAATTATTATATTTTTTAGAATTCTAAATTATAATGGTTTATATAAATTTCATTTGAAAATATCTTTAATATATAATAAAAATAATAGAAATTATAATTTTCTGAATTAATCAATAATTCAAATTATATAAATTTGTATTTATATTTTAAAATATATGTTATCTATTAATTTTTTAATTTAATTTATTTTTATACTAATTATAATATTCGAAAATCAATTAATAAATAAATGCTTTTTGTAATTCTGAATAAAATCATATTAAAATTACCAAATAAATATTTATCATTGTATATTAAAGTATATATAGCAAAAATACAAACATTAAAATACAATAATATTTAATTTATATTTTAATAAAACTAATTATTTAATATTAAAAATAATATTTAGAAATTTTAAATATTAATAGAATTAATTTTTTTATATCTAAAATTAATGTTATAAATTATTATATTTGGCTATAATTAAATTATTAATCTTAAATTATTAAATGTATTATCGTTATATAAAAATATATAATATGGGCTTTTTATCATATTCCTAATAATTAAAAATAAACTTTATATTTATATATTTATATATTTAATTTTATTTATTTTAAATATAAAACCTTAAGTAATTACATTTAAAAAAGAAATTTTAATATCAAAATTATATTTACAAATTTTTTTCAATAATAATTATATATTATTTTATTTTACAATTTATAATAAAAAATATTTTTATAAACAAAAATCATTTAATTTACTTTTCTTATTTAATGATTATTTTTAAATCTATTCATATAGAAATAATATTTTTAAAAAATACTGTTTAAAAAATTAAAAGCTAATCATAATTTAATTAAAAAAAAAAATATTATAAAATTAATAAATAATGACATAAAAAGTAAAATAAAAAAATAAAAAATATAAATAAGTCTAATAAATAAAAACAATAAACAATAATTAAAAAAAAAAAAACAAATAAATAAATAAAAAAAATAAACAATAATTAAAAAAAAATAACAAACAAATATAAATTAATGTAATAATCTTAATCTCAGTAAGATGATTAATAAGGTCAAATAAGTTTAACTCAAGAAGTAAAAAAATAAATTAAATTTTAGATTAAAAAAAAAAAGCAAATTATATTATTATTAATTTAACAAAACGATATTGAATCATTAAAAGAAATTGGAATAAAATAATTAAGTATAAATTTTTTAGAGCCGTTTGCCGAAGCAGACATAGATTCAAAAATAACCCCTTTAGTATGTGCATGTTATTATGGTCGAAATGAAATCGTAAAATTATTATTAGAAAATGAGTGTGTAGATATAGATATGAGTACCGAAGATGCCGGACATACGCCATTAACAATTTCGTGTATGACTGGAAATTATGAAATATTAAGAATTTTATTAGCCGCGGGTGCCGAAGTGAATAAGCCAACAGTATTTAACCATACACCATTTATTTGTTGTTTTTAGAGACTAGAAGAGGAGCAAAATGTTTTTGAAAATAGAAAAATATGCCTTAAAATGGCCGAATTATTGCTTTAATATGGAGCTGATATTAATTGGATAATAAATAAAGTGAAAGGATATACTTTATTAATGTAATTATCTGCAATAAAAATGGAATTAACTCCAAAAGAAAAGGAAACTAATTATGAAATAATTAAGTTTTTGATTGAAAATGGAGCAAATAAAAATATGATTGCAAATAATAAAAAAAAAGCGTATGATTTAGCTGAAAAACATTCTAATAAAAATGAAGTTTAAGATCTTTTATTAAATATTTAATAGATTTATTATTATGATTATTATAAGAATTAATAAGTTTAATAAGTATAGCAATAATAGTAACAAAATTAAAACTAAAAATAAGATAAAAAATAAAAATTAAGTTCTAAAGAAAAATTCATGAATATGTTAAATTTTAGAAAATGATTTTTTTTTAAAATAATTATATATATATATATATATATATATATATATATATATATATATATATATTATTTATATATATTTTTTTATATATTCATATCTAGTTATATTTTTTTCTAAATATTTTATTTTATTTACTATTTAATTTTGCATTTTTTATATTTTTTTTTTGTATTTCATTTAATAATTTTAAAGATAGAAGGAATTTTTTTTATTTAAATTGTTAGTTAAATATAATATTCATTTTAATTATATTTTTAAATAAAAAATATTCAGATTATATATTAAAAATAAAATATAAAAAAAAATTAAATGAAAATATATTTTTTAATTATTGCAACATTTTTCTAATAATTTTAAAAAATTAAAACTTAAAGCCTTTATCATGGAACATTATAAATAAAAAATCCTAAAGAAGGGGAAATAATATACAAATATAAAAGCTAAATTCCATTTTCTTCTTATAACTTAATAATAAGTATATAATAGTTTATTTTTCTTGAAAATTGCAGTCGATATAAATTCGAAATAAACAAAAAATCCCAAAATTAAACCTAATTTATATTAGAAATCGAAAAATCACAATGTATACAGGAAATAAGTATATCTTTTTATGTTCATTTTGAATAAATAAAGGAAATAGTATACAGTAAAAACTGCAATTTGGATGAAAATAAAGAGAGTGATGAATTTTCTTAAAATTTAACTTTCTAAAATTTAAAATTTTCGCCTATTTTCACATTTATTTTATCATTTGATTTACCAAAAAATACATTTTTTTCTATAAATAAAAATTATATGAAAAATTCGGAAAATTTCAAAAGTAAAATTCTTATTAATAATCCTCATAGAAATAAAGAATTTTTTAAATTCTCTTAAGTTTTTCTTATTTTTGATAGTTAAAATGTATAATGTAGTCAAAATTTAAATAATTAATATGTATAAATAAATTCTATTAATTAAATTTCCTCTAATTCTGTTAGTTTTACTTTAGAAAAATATTTTTGTTCATTTAATTTTCCTTTATAAAGTATTAAAAATGAATAAATAACATATTTTTAAAATAACAGTATTATAAATAATCAAACATAAAATCAAAACGAAAATAAATAAATAGAAAATAAAGAAAATGAATAAATAATAAAGTAAGATGGAAAAAATACAAATTAAAGTAATAATGAAAACAATTTAGATGATTAAGAAAATATTAAAAATATCAAAGAACAAAAAAAATAATAAGAAAATTAAAAAAATAAAAGAGAAAATGTTTATATGTACATTTTTTTAGGAATCTTGGTTTTAGTTATTTTCTTAGCAGGGTTACTGAAATAAAAACATAAAAAATAATATTAAGAATTATAAAAAAATTAGGAATTCTCAATATTATGATATTTTATTAATTTATATATGTTGTTACATTAATTATATTAAATAAATTTAGTTTTAATTATTTTTTTAAAAAATTAAATAATACTTTTAAGTTAATAAACATATAATATTTCAATTAAATTTTATTTTTAATATTTTTTAATTGTATTTTTTAAGAAAATAAAGATTAGCTAAAAAAATTATTCTTTAAATATTGATAATAATATATTAATTTTGCTAATTTAAAAAAATAGATTTTTTTAAAAAAATATGTATATAATAATATTTTATATTTTTATGTATCAAAAATTAAAACAAAAAATAATAAATAAATAAAATAATAATAAAAAAAATAATTATTTCTTTAAAAATATAAAAAACAAAAAGAAAAAAATTAAAAAAATGCTAAAACATCGTATTTTCGATTATTGGGAATTAATTGTAAAAACTTAAGTAGCTCCCAAAATACGCCACATTGGAAAAACCTTAGCATAATATGGATATAAAATGTAAATGCCTTTAACATCTGATGACAGGTTAGTTCCATCATTAAGAAATTTAAAAATGAATAATAAAACACCAAATATTTAATAAGTAAAAAAGTATATATAAATATATATATAAATATATATTTATATATATATATATATTTATTTATATTTATTTATATTTATTTATATTTCAAAAAATATATTTAGTGCGATTTTGTTGCGCCTAATAGTGTAATAATAGGAGATGTTTAAGCAAAATAAAATTCATCTATATGGTATGGAGCTACTTTAAGAGGCGAATTAGGTCCTATAGAAATTGGTTAATAGACTGTAATTTAAGATTTAGTTAATATAAAATCTCAAAAATTGAACTAAAAAACTAGTATTGGAGATAATGTTTTTATTGGACCAAATTCATATATTCAAGCTTGTTAATTAGAGGATAATGCATTTATTGGAATGGGAGCTACTGTTGCCAATGGATGTAGAGTTTCTTCGAGTGCTGTAGTTTCTGCCGGTGCTGTTTTATAAGAGAATACTACTATTCCATCTAATTAGGTATTTTTTTTTAGTTTTTTTAAAATTAGTTTTTTTAGGTTTGGGCTGGAAATCCTGCTTAATATTTGAGGGATATCACTCCAGAAGAAAAATAGGTAATTCAAGAACATTTATAAGAATGTATTTAGTTAGCCAGAATTCATGCTGAAGGTTTTTTATTTTATAAATTTTTTATATCTTATACTTATTTATTTAGAAACTGAAAAGTCTTTCAGAGAATATATTAATGATATGGATTAAATGGTTTTTATCTTATTTTTTAAATAAAAATAATATATATATATATATATATATATATATATATATATATATATATATAGTATGCTGAATAATCATATGATCCTGAGGATTTTGCCCTCTAAAAATTACAAGATTTAGGATTTCCTATGGAATTTGAAGATGAAGATTATATGGAATAAAGGTAAAATTTTATATATTGTCTTTTTAAACATTAAAAAAAAAAAAATAAGAATTCATATGAAAGAAAAATTAGCTCCTGAAGAAAGTGAATTCTGGAAAAAAAATTACGATCCTTATGAGCAAGATTTGTTCCATTTCCCAGATAATTTTAAAACATATTAACAAAATTATGATAAATATGATGAAATTAAAAAATATTTTGACGAAAATCCTAATGTCGAAAGAACAGTTATTGATAGAGAATTTAGTTAACCTAAATATGATGCTCCTTGGTCAAAAAAATACTGAGGTCTTTTTTTAAAAAAATAAAATAAAAATTTATATTATTTTTATTTATAATCCAATAAATAACTGTATTTTTTTTTCATTATTGAAATAATTTTTTATATTATTAAATATAAAAATATATTTTATTAAATATTTATTTTTAAATTTAATTTTTATTAAAATATTCGTATCTTAAATTTAGATTATATAAAAAAAATATGTTAACAATATTTTATTTTATTAAATAAGAATCTTATTATTTATATGAGCTTAAGTTAAAAAATTGACAACAAAAGTATTTGAGCATAATTTTGATTAAAAAATAACTTATTAATAATAAGTTTATGTGGTTGAAATTATATATAAATTTAAGGAAATAATTATGTATTAGCAAAAAAATTATAGATAAAAAAATATACTATTTTTAATTTATTTAAAAAAAAAAAAAAAATTATTAATAAATATTATATATCATTATTTTATTCTCAAATTAATATTAGTTATAATTAATTCTAAGGATAAATATTTTTAAGAATTATAATTTGGAAATAAGAAAATTTAAAAGATAAGTATTAAATTATTAAACCTATTATCATAAATAAATTAAATTAACTGAAGAATATTTTTAATAAAATTATGTCTTTTTAAAATTTTTAAATAAAATTTGTAATCTTAAACTGAATTTATATAATTTGGTTATAAAACATTTAATAAATTATTTAAAAATAATGAATAACTTAAATTAAAACATTAAAATAATGAATGAATTTTTTTTTTAAGAAAATAAATAAATTATATTTTATGTTTTTTTCTAAAAAACTTTTGAGATTATTGTTATAAAAGTAGTTAATATTTTTTTATAATAAAAAAATTCGATTATTTAGAATATTTAAGGAATAAAACAGAACATAGTGGAATTTATAAATTTTTATTCTAAAATAAATAATATAATACATGGAGTGTTCAAAGTTTTGAAAATAAAATATTATTTATATCTCTCAATATCAAAAATACTAATTAAAGTGGTATATAATAAATGCAAATATGGCTAAAAAATTATTAAATGAAAATAATAAAAACTAATTATGTATATTTAATATTTCAATAATGCTAATAAAATTTATTTTATTTTTTAAACTTTTTTTTAAAAAAAAATTGAAAACATATTAAAAATAAATATAAGTATAATATTATGCGGATATTTTTATTAAAGGAAATTATTAAAAAAAGAAATCATTATAATTCTCAATGCTTAGAATATAAATTAGTGATTAAAAATCCTAAAAAACATATTTATATAAATCAAAGAATTGGATTAAGTAATTTTCAATTGTTTTTGCTGTTTTATAAATTCTTATAAATAAAATATAGAATACAAGAATATAAAAATAATGTACTTTTAATTATTATTTTAAATACTTTTTTATTAATTTTATATTATTTTTAACATTAAAATTTTACATAATTAAATAATATACATTGTAATATTAGTAATTTAATTTAATGTATTTTTTCTAGTAGTTTCAAATTCCCTTCTTAATAGTATATTTATTTTCTCTTACAATTTCAGTTAAGTTTTATGTAAGTAGAATATAAAATTTACACCTATAATTTTTAAAATTACTAAAGAACTTAATCTACAATATTATGAGAATAATAAATTTTTTACAAAAAGTTAAATCTTTAAAACATAAAAAATTAAATTTTATTATTATTATAAAATATTTTACTTGTAAATTCTTATTACTATAAATTTTATTTAATTATTCCCTTTATTTTATATATTTAAAAAATAAAATATTACTTTTTAAAAATCTCTTTTTTTCATTTATAACTCTTTAAATTGTATTTTTCAACATATATTTCTTTTATTTTAAAGTATTTTCGAAATATTTTATTTTATTAAATCTATTAAACAATTTTATAATGTTTATTTTCTGGTAAAACTTAATTTTTTTCTATTTTTCATTTAAATTTCTAATATTTTCGGTATTAGAAACGAGTATTGATTGTAATTAATTATAGCAATTATCAATGAATTTTCAGATAGAAAAACCAATTATTACTCTCATTCAATAACACACTACAATTGTTCAATATTAAACAGTTAATTTTTGAAGCATGCACTATTATTAATATATATAAAACAGATATTATGCAAAGTGCTCTTCTCAAAAATTATCCTATTTTTTTTTGTCCTTTTAAAATTTAATTTAATTAAATAAATAATATTAAAAAATGGTAAAAAATATTTTATTTATTTAATAATAAATAAAAGTATTTTTTTAATAAAATTATTATATAATTATTTGTCTATCAAATTAAATAAAAAAATAAAATAATATTAAATAATAATTTTTATATTATAATAATATAAAAAAATAATATATATATATATAATTATATTTTAGCTTTTATATAAATATTTTTAATTTTAAACTAAAATAATATTTTTTATAAAATATTATATCTTTAATTATTATTAAATATTTAAATTTATAAAAAAAATTATTTATCATATAAATCAAATAAAAAAATTTAAATATATATCTTAAATAAATAAAATATATAATATATTTGAATAAAAAAAAAAAATTATTTAGGTTAAAAAAAAATTTCGATATATATTTATAAGTTTATAAATACATATAGAAAAAAATAATAAGTGTATAAATATATATGGAAAGGTATTTGGGATTGGGGTTAGGGGTTGGGGTTGGGGTTGGGGTTGGGGTTGGGGTTGGGGTTGGGGTTGGGGTTGGGGTTGGGGTTGGGGTTGGGGTTGGGGT